TCTTAATTGAATGTACTTATAGCCAATGGTTACTATATCCATTTTACGGCAAGTTCAAACCAATCTGATTAAAATTAATTCAGCTATTGAGGTTTAAGTATACGAAAGCCAAAAACGGTTTTCATATTTTCAATTACAACCTTCATCCGGTTGATTGGCTGGTGACGTCACAGGCACTACACATACTATATACATTATCTATACAATACACACCACCAGTTGACAAGTGTGTCGGTCCAATTAACATGTTACTGCCATAATCATAATCGCCGAATTATCGTCTTGGGTTGTTATAGATTAGACATTTGTGATTGGAATATTTTAAGGTGAATTTAAAATGCCGTATCATGCCGTTGATCCATTTAAGGTGCCATTGTTTAAATAGGCCCCGTGACAACTGAAGAAGACCTAAGCAATGAGCGCATTTACCGGTAATTTGGATAACCCCGTAAAACTTGATATCCCAAACTATTCTCTATAAGTACAGAAATACAAATGATGCCAGTCAATTATCGATATATTCATTATTAGCTATATATAATAATAATAACCATTTCTATACACAAAGAACAACTTTTATCGTAACTCCATTTGACATTCACAGCGAATATGGAATTTCCCGATGAGCATGCATAGATCGCCCTCATTTCTCAGCCAATCAACGTTGGGAATCTTATTGCCATGTACGGTTCCATGCACTACGAGCGTAGTAACTGAGGTTAAACTTTGGCGCGAAAATTCCATGGGATTCATGGACATGAATATCAAATACGCGGAGTTCCTGATGCCGTTTGGTGAGTGATTAAACTGTCAATGCAATTGTATAATACTTTTATTATAAAGATATTTCATATCAAGTCAATTAAATGTTGTTTAAACGCCAGTCAACAAATAATGCGATGCTACCTGATTACAAAAACACAAAAATTAAATAATAATTATAAACAACGGATGAGTAAAACTTAATTGTTTTATACAATAAATATGTGTGTGTACGATTCTACCATTAGTTCATTTGTGGATACTACGCACACGTTCCACCTAGAGTGATGTCTTTGGTCTGGCCGGCGTAAAAAAGATAATTACCTAATCAGCATTCTTAATCCCACTAACATTCACTGCTAATTAACACCGAGATGTAAATTAATTAATGACCCCCAAGTCTGTATAACTTTAGTCGGATTGATTAATTAATGACAGATATTAAAGACACTACTTGTCATATTATTATCAATACACAAAGATAGTTAGATGACACTTCTCAATCTGTCTTGTTATTCCATTTAGATGGTTACCAACAAAATTTATTTGTACTGTATATTGAGATATTCTTTCGCATTTCACTTTTTACGGTCTATTTCAGAGTAATGAAGTCAAATCCGCCGTACGATGATAACGGATCGTCCTTTACAAATCGCTTTTCAATCATGTTTGACTTTTATGATACAATTTGCATGACCACATCTTTTTACCCCTAGGGAGCCACGGTGGCTAGTTGGTTAATACGCTGCCTCGCTAGCCTGGAAAAGAAAGAAAGAAATATGGTTTAATGGCACGTCAGCTCCAACCGGGCTATATTGCGCCAAACATATGGTGATGCTACGAGACAACCTAGAAACAAATAATCACATTATCTATATATATATATATACATAAATAAAAACAAATATCACAGTAAATATCAAATAAAAATAAATATCACATACTTTATGTATATATATTTGAAACATAAAAGAGAAAATCAGGATATATATAATTAAAATTTTCGATAAAAATTTGTCTCTTTTAAAAAATCTAGCACTTTACAATATAGACCCGACTGGGCAAACAACGGGTGTAGTGACTGGCAACGGTAGTACCGTGATCTTGTGTGTTTGAGATGCTTGCACTCAATCAAAATGTGCTTTACTGTCAAAGGAATATGACAGTGTTCACATTCTGGTTGAGGCTCTCGCTTTAAGATGAAAATGTGTGTTAAAAAGGTATGACCAAGACGAGAGTGACACAAAACAACTTCATCCCTCCTAAGAGAGGCTTGATATGATGAAGTTTATCTGTGCCTACAAGATCCCAAGACCGCTGCCAGCGGTCATGAATGAAATTATTTATGATAGATTTAAAATCTTTAAAAGGCGTTAAAAAGTCGGATATGGGAAGATCATCTAAAGCAGACTTGGCAGCCGAGTCTGCTTGATCATTCCCTTTGATATCCATATGACTGGAGCGCCAGCAGAGAACAGTGTCCTTGCTGACAAACTCGTATGATAGTAGCAGACGATAAATGTCTGCTACTAATGGGTGCGCTAGCCTGGAGGTCGGGTGTTAGATCCCTGCATTGGCCGAGAAAGTTCATCTGGATTTTCCGACGTGGTTTCCCCTCGTCAGTGGTGCAGAACGGAGGGCCTGACAAGGACAGCTGTCTAGTCCTTCGGATGAGACGAAAAACCGAGGTCCCGTGTATACATTGGAATGCACGTAAAAGATCCCTTGGCAGTTGGAATTCGATATAAGAGTAGGCGATGGTGCCACTGCTCGGGCAAAATTTCCCTCATAGCACACTGTATGACATATGCCCATCTTCATTAGCCCAGTATAGGAGCAGAACAGTAGGACGTTAAACCCCATTTTATTTCTTTTTACCCCTGTACTTTTTTACTCGGGGAAATTAGAACCACAATACTCTTTTGACGAAGATGTATCTCTAATCAATTGGACTGCACACGATGTTAGAGGGTATTAAAATTGCTGTCATGAGAAACAAATTCTAAATTGAATCTTAAATTAAAATGAATTACAAAATAAATTATTCCGTAGTCAATTGTTTGATTTAATTAAGGAACTAAGGGGGATTAAGGAACCAGTCAGGCGTTAATGAGTACACACGCCGGCTGTATATAGGTAATTAAGGAATAAACATTCCGAATATGCATTCGGTCACTGGCGTCTGAGGGGATTAAGAGTGTTTTCGATAATAGGCAAAGTCGTTTTTACGGAAGGTCTATTTTTACGACTTTGAGTGAAGATAATTGAATTAATTTCAATCAGATTGGTCTGAACTTGCCGTAAAGTGGATATAGTAACCATTGGCTACACGTATCTCAAAGTTTGCAGGACCATCTTATGTGTACTTTAACAATTAAATCAGTTGTGAATATTGTCAACCAATTATCTAAATATAGACGTATGACGTCATGTATAAAATATTATGGGATAACTGGAAGTAATAAATCTCGTGCAGTTCAACGCTGTTGTCAACTTCTTGTCTCTTCACTAAACTCACTATTTTACCCTGTCTGTCCACAACAAGAATATTACAAATATAATTCATGTCAGTAGTCGCTTAAACCCGTCAGTACTTACACCGTACGTCAGTATTCCTATAAATGGTCACTAATAGTCATAAGGTGAGTACTACTTTGAACTGGTAGTCAGAAGATATTCCTCTACAGGTGTCTTTTCGGCGTTGCCATAGTAATTCCAAAGTTCGCAGAATTAGACATGATCTTGATGATCTAAAACTGACAGGTTGAATAATCCTTGAATCGGTATATAATCAGACGTAGTACAAATTATTATTATCATTTATGTTCAATTTATATAGAGCGTCATTACACATGAGTGTTTCTAGGCGCATTCACAAAAAAAACCAGTTTAAAACCATTTTTGAAATAAATTTGTTGTTAAGCTAGTCTTAACGCTTTTGATGGAAAGGACTCACGAAGGGTTTTCGGACGATCATTCCACATTTTAGCTGCTTTTAGAAAGCATATTCACCCGAGCGTTTATTATATTTTGGAATCCTCCATATGGAAGAAACACTTGCAATCAAAGAGTTATTTTAAATAAGTAGGTGCAGTTTCAGAATAAATTGATTTAAACACACTCACAAGAGCTTTAAATTGAACCCTGTCTCGAACTGGAAGGCAATGGATTTTCTGTAACTGATATATGATCATATTTTCGTGTTCTGGTTTTGAGACCTGAAGCATTGCTTTGTACTATTTGTAGTCTATTAAAAATGTTTCTAGTGCTCCTGAAATGAAATGAAATAAGGTTTAACGTCCTACTGTTCTGTTCCTAACCTGAGCTAATCAAGACGGGCCTACGCCATACAGTGTGCTATGAGGGAAATTTTGCCCGGGCAGCGGCTCTACGGCCTACTCTTATATCGAATTCCAACTGCCAAGGGATCTTTTACGTGCACGGCAATGTGTACACGGGACCTCGGTTTTTCGTCCCATCCGAACGACTAGACAGCTGTCCTTGTCAGGCCCTCTATCCTGCACCACTGACAAGTGGACACCACGCCGGAAAATCTGAATGAACTTTCACGGCCAATGCAGGGATCGAACACCCGACCTCGAGGCTAGCGAGCCAGGGTCTTACCCACTTAGCCACGTGATCCCCCTTCTGGTGCTCCTAGTACGAGGGAATTTGCATAGTCCATATGATCAGTTACTAGTGATCTAACAAAACTTTGACAGACATCAATTGCTTCTTTGGAGATATAGAGCAATCACTGATCTGAATAGAATCAACTTTAAACAATTTACTGGATTGTGATTTTGATGATGACAATAAATTTTTGTCATCTTTGAATTACAACAGAGAAATCAAGTCTCTTAAAACAGCACAAAGCAAAACAGAGAGACCGTTTCTCTCAGAACAGCAAAAATGAGTCAACTGCACAAAATGGCAATAAATAGAGAACACTGATCACGTGGGTCAAATAGAAACTTACGACAAATATTGAGTTCTGTACAAGGTGCTAAGAAAGTTCTCTGTCGTTGTACTGAGGCATTTCTGCCTTTGGACTGGTCTGATCCGGCTTATATAGTTTTAGGAAATTTCTGGAACATATACATATACTCGAGCGACCAGGCGTGGTAGATTACAGCCGAAAATGAGGAAATACCAACGACTGTATTTCGTATCCTAAAATAGTAAGAGCGGACACAGTTATGTGCCCCCGTTTAAATTAATGTGATATTGTATTTCAGATAAAAGAAAATGTTGAATTTGACTGCTTGGATTATTGTATTCACAGGGCTGATACTTGTAATACACGGTAAGCGTTGTTTATACACTCTTTACTTTTGCTATTTTATTTAAACGAAGCCCACATGGTTATTCGTTATAAAACAGATGGTCGATCTTCTTCGTAATGATGACAATGAGGATTCCACTGCAATCCAAAGTACAAATATTACTCTAAAGGAGACGGAAAACATCAGGCCCCATAATCAAAGGTTTTAAGTGAAAATACGTAATTTTCCTACTAAGTTTACAAGAGGGTAACCTTAAATCGGTATTTAAATGCTGTATTCTACATATGTTTGGCCATGTGATACACTTTGTGCACACTTAATTTATGGAATGCCCACAACAAGAAAACCGCATGGATTTCATGGAATACCCTTCAATGCCCAAGATCACGAATTTCTAACTTCAAAGGCAAGCTATGTCCTCTTAAGAGCATCAGTACTCTATTCAAATGGTAGTTGTCACATTTTGTACTCCGTTTAGAAAATTTCATTACGTGTTTCGGTACCTTACATATTGGTTTCTTTAGAGTATTTATTAATAATGTTTTTGCCAATTTTGGTCCAAGTTTGCATGGTGTAAACATTCTTCCAACGTAGATATGGTTGGCCTCCGTGGAACTATTTATTGTTGAACATATATTGGGCCGCTTATGACAAACAAGAAGTGTTTTACGGATGGGGCAAAAAATAATCCGAGATTGTCCGTACTTCGGTTATTTCTCAACCGATATTCGCCGGGTTTTCATTTCTGGATTCTTTGGACGAATTACACGGGGATATGACTGGTGCCTTTTCGAAATTTGGAAGTTCGGTCAATTAGTTATAACATCAAAGATTTGCGAAAGTTAGCGTTTGGGGTATCAAATTGTAAGTTGGTAGGAATAAGGAAATGAAATGAAATGAAATGGAGTTTAACGTCCTACTGTTCTGCTCCTAACCTGGGCTAATGAAGACGGGCATACGCCATACAGTGTGCTATGAGGGAAATTTTGCCCGGACAGTGGCACTACGGCCTACTCTTATATTGAATTCCAACTGCCAAGGGATCTTTTACGTGCACGCCAATGTGTGCACGGGACCTCGGTTTTTCGTCCCATCCGAACGACTAGACAGCTTTCCTTGTCAGCCCCTCCGTCCTGCATCACTGACAAGGGAGAACCACGCCGGAAAATCTGGATGAACTTTCTGAATACATTGATGTCTTCTAAATGACACGTTAAAAAAGTTTTGTGACGGCTTCCGGAAACCTCCGGAAATGACCCAGACTTTCCTATTTTTACCAAATATGAATAGTTCTCTCCATTTTAAATGTAGACTAAAAATGACATAGGGTGGTGTTAGCCCCAGATATTATCTTTCATTTGGAAGCAAATAACCCAGAAACCCCCAGATTCTCAGCGAATATATTTTTTGAATTCAATCAAATTTAAATTTGTCCCGAGTAATCAATAGGAGTTGGCGCATACCGAAACGTCGTTGTCCAGTAAATGTCCACAAGAAATTATAACGCCATTTATTTCATTGAAAATGTTCTTGAAATGCCTCGATATGGTTTTCGTAACACATTAATTTTCCAAGCAGTGCATATGGTCCTTTGGCTGTCGATGAATTATATCTTTAAAATAAATTACAAGGGTTGCCTTATAGGGCATACATTTAGACACACTTAAACAAATGTACAAGGCAATGGTTCTCATTTTAATCGTATTTTATGATTCAATTCATAACTTTGTTATAACGATTGAATTATGATTCGCACAACTAGCCCTGGTTCACTGTTTGCGCCATGCCTTTATACTAACTACGGTGATGGTGACACCCAGCAGCTATTGTCTACCCATGAGCCTCCGGCTTTTGATACCAAGGTGTAAACCTTAGTTATTTTTCTAAGGCCAGATCTGTCTACCGATAAAATACAAAAGCCCAAATCGGTGATTAAGGATTAATATACGGAATGCAGGGGTAGGGTGGCCATCGTGATGGCTCCAAAATGCAATTTTTATATTCTTAGGAGTGATACTCTCTCCCCAGCACTAGTCATTTGTTGGGCATATCAGAGCCATTATAGGTTGCATGTTTGATGCTGGTTGAGTTTTATGATTATGATTATAGGGCTGAAATCCGCATTAGAACTTCATGATGAATATTAGATCTTATTTACACGTTATATAAGATGGAAATCAAATTGTGTCCAAGTTAAATCTATATTGGTATTAAACATTTCAAAGATGACACGTTATCCCATTAACATTCTTTTGAATCCTCGTATGTGGAGGGTTGATACCATAATATGTCTCTTCATATATTTCAGTTCAATCAGATATCATTGTTCATATTAATTGTGAAGATATCCTAAATTTCTATGCTAATGGCGATGACGTTAATCGGAACGGCGAAACCAAATCACCAAACATTAGTATTCCCGATACTACAAACGTTGTTGCTGTAGCATGCCACCAAAAAGAGGGACCTGCTGGAATGAAGCTGACATTTAGTAACGGCATTAAATCCGACCACTTATGGAGATGTTACAGTCATTTAGTGGAAGGTTGGCATGAAACAAGGTGAGTTATTGTGATATTATTTCAAGCACGTGCATCAGTTCAAAATGATATATATATCTAAAATTAAAAATTATTGGCACAATCGCAAAGCTGCACTACTTTGTTTCACAGTAAACGATGAAAAGATAAAATGTATGCCGACACAAAATGATTTCAACACTGGTTTAATAACATTTTAAAGTACTTTTCGTCCGTCTTGGGACTATTCATAAATATTTTCATTGCATATAGTTGGACACCATAGTATGTTTATACATATTTACACAGTGACACTGTGGTTTTTATTGGCTATGGTTACCATTGTCTATGGTTACATAGTATATAGGTAACGAAAAGAAAACATGTATGCGTGTGTTAATCCGTTGTATATGGGTGCAATAAAATTTAGGAACAATGAATGGAAGATAATAAAGGGATAGATTAAGCAAATTAATTAATGAAATTAATGGTCAATTGTTGCTGATTGACTATTAAGTCGAGCAACGTATTTTTTTAATAAAATGGTTTTCCCTTTTTTATACGCCCACATTTTCATATGGACGTATTATGCCGTCGCCCCTGTCCGTCCGGACGTCCGTACGTCCACAATTGTTTGTGGACTCTCTACAGGTCACAATTCTTATCCAATTTTGACGAAACTTGAAATATAGGTTTATCCCCAAAAGATCTCGGCTGCTTTCGATATTGGCATGTATCGGATCGAAACTTCATGGATTATGGCCCCTGATTGTACGAAAAATCACGTTTTTAGCTTGTGGACCCTATAGAGGTCACAATTTTTATCGGTTTTTTTTTAAACTTGAAATGTAAGTTTAAAACCCAAAGATCTCAGTTCCTTTCGATATTCGCGCATATCGGACCGTAACTTCCTGAATTATGGCCCCTGATTGTACGAAAAATCGCGTTTTTAGCTTGTGGACCCTATAGAGGTCATAATTTTTATCCGATTTAAAAAACCGTATTATTATATCACCGATACACCCTAAGGAAGGTTGAGTTCGAAATTCGTGAAAATCGGCCCAAAATTGACAGCAAAATGGCCGCCGTTCGTTCTCAAATAGCGTAAAAATATGGTATATCAAGGTTGTGGACTCTATAGAGGTCACAATTTTTATCCGATTTTTTGAAACTTGAAATGTAAGTTTATAACCCAAAGATCTCGATTCCTTTCGATCTTCGCGCATATCGGACTGTAACTTCCTGAATTATGGCCCCTGATTGTACGAAAAATCACGTTTTTAGCTTGTGGACCCTATAGAGGTCATAATTTTTATCCGATTTAAAAAACCATATTATTATATCACCGTTACACCCTAAGGAAGGGTTGAGTTCGAATTTCGTGAAAATCGGCCCAAAATTGACAAACAAAATGGCCGCCGTTCGTTCTCAAATAGCGTAAAAATATGGTATATCAAGGTTGTTGACCCTATAGAGGTCACAATTTTTATCCGTTTTTTTTAAAACTTGAAATGTAAGTTTAAAACCCAAAGATCTCAGTTCCTTTCGATATTCGCGCATATCGGACCGTAACTTCCTGAATTATGGCCCCTGAGTGTACGAAAAATCGCGTTTTTAGCTTGTGGACCCTATAGAGGTCATAATTTTTATCCGATTTAAAAAAACCGTATTATTATATCACCGTTACGCCCTAAGGAAGGTTGAGTTCGAATTTCGTGAAAATCGGCCCAAAATTGACAGCAAAATGGCCGCCGTTCATTCTCAAATAGCGTAAAAATATGGTATATCAAGGTTGTGGACCCTATAGAGGTCACAATTTTTATCCGATTTTTTGAAACTTGAAATGTAAGTTTATAACCCAAAGATCTCGATTCCTTTCGATCTTCGCGCATATCGGACTGTAACTTCCTGAATTATGGCCCCTGATTGTATGAAAAATCACGTTTTTAGCTTGTGGACCCTATAGAGGTCATAATTTTTATCCGATTTAAAAAACCATATTATTATATCACCGTTACACCCTAAGGAAGGGTTGAGTTCGAATTTCGTGACAATCGGCCCAAAATTGACAGACAAAATGGCCGCCGTTCGTTCTCAAATAGCATAAAAATATGGTATATCAAGGTTGTGGACCCTATAGAGGTCACAATTTTTATCCGATTTTGTTGAAACTTGAAATGTAAGTTTATAACCCAAAGATCTCAGTTTCTTTCGATATTTGCGCATATCAAATTGTAATTTCCTGAATTATGGCCCTTGATTGTAGGAAAAATCACTTTCTTGTTAGCTTGTTCTCTATCCATCTCTCGAAAATGTGGGCGTATCCTGCCTGGCAGCCGCTGGTTCTTTTCGAAATTTAACTTGTAGGTGTTTTCCACATCTAAAAATATATGTCAGTTTACAAATAGGGCCCATATTCAATATTACAATCCAGTCGATGGTTGCGTACTCTATCCAATAGATATGTGCCCGACTCCCCGGTGTAGAAATTTTGACATCCATTGCAAGTCAAGACATATATGAGATGTTTTGTGTCACAATCCATATCGTCGTTGAACCTAAAAGTAAAGTTATGAAAATTATATTTGTTATTTGGCGTTATATGGTTGCAACATTTACATCGAAGATCTGGGCATTTAGATACGTAAAAACCGGTCCTTGTGATAGATGAATTGAAATTTGCTTTGGTGAAGAGACGTTTCAGATTCGGGGGCTGTCTTTGTGATTTAATGAATTGTACGCTGTCAAATTTCATTCTGAGGTTGTCGTTTGATGCCAGGATTGCCCTGCTCTCGTGCATTGCTTTAATGAAGTTGGGGGTTATGAGTAGAGACAAAGGTAATACTGTTATCCGAACTGTCTTTTACTTAAGTCGAATCGCCGGTTGTACGTGACAAGGAGTAGGGTCGCCTGTCCAACCTCGTGGTTTTTCTCCGGGTCCTCCGGTTTCCTCCCACTGCTAAAGACCCCTACGCGCAGGCGAATTATTGAAATAAAATTAAACCATATGTTAGTCCCGAATTGACCTGGTTTGTGTAGAGTGGACGTTAAACCCCATATCTCTCTCTCTTTTACTTTAGTAGTCCTTATTTGGATATCAATTGCCAAAGCCTTATCCATCCAAACTTTTATTACCTCGAGGGGGTAATGCTGCTTCAATAAATTTCTTTTTACCTCACCTAGTTTGACAATCCGCAGGTCTTCATCTATCACAATTGTGCATATTTTTCTAGTTAAGGAAAAGAGTATATTATTTTTGGTATGGCGTGGATGACTTGGTTTTTAAGAGAGATAGTTGTTGGTATCTGTTTCTTTGGAATACATATCCGTTATGAGGAGCTCTCCCCTACGTTTCGCTAGAACGTCCAAGACTGCGATTTGCAGATCGTTCGTTAAAATTGTGAATTTGATATTTAGATCTAAATCATTCATAATGTGTTGCAAATCTGCAATGTTGCCAATTCGTTCATTCCATATACAGAATACATCGTCTTGGAATAGTTTCAACTGATTTACGAAATATAATCTGTAATCCACGCCATGTTCAATTTCGACAATTGAGTATAATTTTTCCTCAAGAAATCCCATTGTTAAATTACTTAATTGTGGTACCGCCTTGTTACCCATCGCTACACCAAGAATTTGTTTGTAATTTGTTTCGCTAAATGTAAAAGTGTTGTTAGTCAGGATGATACGCATGACTTTGAGGATAAAGTTTTTTGAAATTCTCTCATGACTGCATTCAGGATGTTTATCCAGACAATATTCTACAGGATGAAAGCTTAGGTCATGGGAGGTAAATATTGCCATACATGTTACAAACATCCATGGTTACGAAACAGTCGCCATCATTTAGATTTATGGGTAATGTATTAACAAAATCTATGTCATCCCGAATACCAGATTTCACATTTGGCACGTTCGGCTTGAGTGCGATATCAATGAGATTTGATAGCCTGTTAGTAGGGCAGCAAGGGAGATCGCCTGGCTGAAAAATACTGATGAATTCGGCATTTTGCTGTTTAATGGACTGCTTGATCATCTTTGATTTATGGATTTTTGGAAGACCATAAAACTGACTTCTTTTATTCCTACAGACAGCGTTTATATCACACTCTTATTTCTGTAAATTGACTCAAGTCGTCGGTGAGAATTTCAGGCCTTTCTGTAGGAGGTTATTTATCTCTTGATCATTTATGACTGTGGATGATTTATTTATTATTTTCGGGTGTACTGGTTCTCGCAATTGGGTATTGTGGTCACGTTGTTGGAGCGACGCTAAGTTGTCTCGTTGTGGTGGTGTAAAGGTCGGTGCGATTGGTTTTGTGAGGGTGGTCGGTGCGGTTGAGATTGACCTTTCTGAAAAAAAGGGACCCTGCCTTAGATTAGTGTGCTCAGACCGCGGTTGTTTGGTATTCTCTTGGTTGCTGCTAGACACATTGGTCACGTTTCTCCCATCTTTGTTCCGCACATTCGGTCTTTTATATCCATTATTCTGTGCCCTTGGTTGTTCTTTGGGTTTAGTCCCTAATTTTCGCTTCCTATTCTTCAGCACGCGTAGGTAAGTTTATCAAGAATTCCTTCTTCTTTTTCCATATTGGTTTTGATTTATTTTCTTCAGTAGACATTTCTTTGTTCCACATATTATTTTTCAGAAGTTCCACTAGTTCTTGATCTTGGTGTCCTTCAATATGTGCCAATAGTTCAGTCTCTGCCTTATTAATGATTTCTGTTCGTTTAGTAGAAGATTCAAAAAGGGAGTCTATTTCATTTTGCATTTTGAGTATGTCAACTTCGTTTCTGTGTTTCGCTTGGTTTTCCGATTCGTTCAATCTTGGGTTTTCCTTGATTTTACGAGGTACAAAAGGAGTTTCCAATTCTAGAAACTGTTGGTATACCTCAGCCTTTTCCTTAATTTGTATCATTTTGTAAAATGCCGTTTTTCGAACATTTTTGCATTTCCTCCACTCTTTTATTATATACTAAACAGCACCCCCCCACCAAAAAAAAAACAACCGTAAGTACGATTTCAAAATCAAAGA